TTCGTGGGGAAATGCAGCCGTTTTCCCAATTTTTGTTTGTTCTCCCCCTAAAAGTCGCTTTCCTGTTTCCACGTTTTATACCTTGCCCGTTTTTGTCGATTTATCCGCCTTTAATTCGCATCATTTCTCCCTAGTTGTCGGCTCCCCCTTCTTCCGTCCGCATCATTTCCCCTTAACTCTCCACTTTCCCCTTCGTTTGCGATTTGTTTCCAAGTTTAAATAGTGATCAGACAAAAGTTACACCGTTTCGAAAGCATCAACTAATCAAGTCGGAATCGAGACATATATCTCGATTCCAGTTCCAAAGTCTACTTAACTAATTACCTCAGTTCACTGATGTCCGTGAATTCCCAAACACTCACGTTATATCCAAAAATACAAGTCATGATGGAGCCGTCAGCAGGTAATTAGGGTTGAGCCATAGCGTTCAATGATAACACCGTTGGCTAGAATGAATAAGTTGCTATTTAGTATCACATTCATCAATTTTGTGTACTGATATATCTTCCACTACGCACGTGGAAATACGATACTTTTTACTGCCAAACTCGCAAAGCTGATCTGGGTCATAAAATTTAAGAAGCTGGAAAACACGAAATGACTACAGTAAGGTCATAATACGGTAGGTAGTTTTTGTTTAAATCCATGCATTCATGTCAATGGCTCCAATGCTAGTTAGTAACCCAAACCTTAATGCTCCCATAGTTTGACCACGCTTAACCACGCTTATCGTCCTCCACAAATAAACATTCCACTCACCATTGTTTTTTTGTGATGAGCTTGGAGCCTATATGTCGTACAATAGTACAAGTCGCTTCTGTGTGGTAAACCAGGCTATACTGTGGCATGAGTAGGGATTTCGTAGTTCTAAGAGTTGCCTGATGGGTGATGCATACCAAGGGATGATGCAGCCAACAATGTATGCATGTATTACTGAACTGAAAGTAGGCTGAAAATATTTACTTAATCCCCAACCTCATTCAGTGTAGTGTGAAAAGATTCTGATAATTAAGGTAAAAGTATGAGAAGTTGGTGATGGCTGATGGGCAGGCATGATGACAGGGAATTGGGTTCGAACTGATCTTGCCTTCATGGTACTTTCTGTATGCGTTTGTAGTGTCACACACTTCTCCAGAATCAATAGCCTAGGGTTCGACGTGATTCAACATTGATGCTGACCTTCATAGTTTGACCGGACTCGCTAAGACGAAGGCACCTGGTCAGGCATCCTCGCCATTAGGCACGCTGTCCCGTTACGTTCCACTGTTCGTAATCGACCCTCCAGCCAGCTGGTTGGAATGCATCGGTATCTTTCCGATCCTGGCTCTGACGTCCTTGTCTGTGCCACCGCCAGTAAGTGAAACGATTCTGCCTAAGTGGGTGAAAGAGACTACCTCCCTTAAATTTCTCCAGCTGATGGTGACTGGTGCTTGTTGTTGTTAGGTATCTTCGTCACCTCTGTCTTCTATACATTCACTTGAAGTCCCTTCCTCGCCACCTCTTCTGACAACTTGTTAGTTTTCGCCTGTAGGTCTTCGCGTTTGTACGACATTAGACACAAGTCATCATTGGCGAAATTCAAATCTCCTTCTGAGGTCTTTATATTGGTCCAGCCAGAGCATAACCATCTTAGCGCTCCTCACAACTTGTTCCATGATCCAGTCTAGTCGACTAGAATCAGGAAGATCATCCGGGATAGCAGGCGGCAACCTTGTCTTACCCCTGTCTCCACTTCAAAGGCAACACTGAACTTTCCATTGTGAACCATCATTTCTTTGTCCAGTGTAGCGTATTATATGTTGTATTCACTTCCTCTTTTCGTTGTTCATCCTGCACTGGTTCATTTCCTGCTTCACTATCTTCCTCTCCTCCACCAGCCTCCATGTGCCCGTCGAGATCCATTCCAGTCATTATCTTGCTTCTTCTTCCATCTCAACACGGTTGTGCAGGTTTCCTCCCATGTTGCTATCCAGTGGTTCCAGTGTTCCTTCACACAGGTCTCTTCACGGATGGCGCTCAATACCTCATTTTGTCCTGATGACTGACGTGAAGATGTTCTTTGTGGTTTTGTTCTTTAATTTCTGTTCCGGGCGTCCAACTTGATCTATGGCCTATCACCAGCTTCTTTCAAGGTTTTCAACTTGACTTCGAAGGTTCCTTACACCGGAAAGGGGCGGCGGGAACTTCAGTCTGCTCCTCTCCTTAATCTTATGTCCAGTAGACCACGTCTCCACTTTCTCCAGATTGAAATGAAGTCGATCTTATTTTTAATGCGTGCATTTAATGAAATCCATGTAGATTCGTGAATGTTCCTGTGTTTTACACACTGCCTGCAATCGCCAAATAGTTGGGTGCGGAGAAGTCTGAAAACAGTTATCCATTCTCCGCTCCCAGTTTGGCACTCATGTCACCCCACGCATTAGAGTTCTCATGTCGCCTTCTGAAGTGGGGCGCCGTCCAGCACCGATTGCAGTTTTCTGTAGAATTCCTCCTTCTTCTCTTGATCTGCATTATTCGCAGGTGCGCAGCGTAGCATGGTACGATTGTAACTTTCTTTCCTTGAGTTGAATCTTGCTGCCACGATCCTGCATGAGGAGATTGGTTCCCGCTGCATGAGGGCCTCCGATGGTCCCGGGGTAGTCATGGTAGCCACTCACTCAGCGTGTTCGTGGTTTTCGTGTAGGTGACAACGCCGGGGTACATTACTGACTCGCCGGTTTACAGTTTGGAGAGTTCACTTCCATTCCATCCGCTCTCGAAGGTTCCCAGCATTCCTGTGCCAATTCTTCTCACATCCTTTGTGACCTGGGCAGCTTTGCTAGGTCCAAACATTGTGCGGACGTTCCATATCCCTATGCTAACTTTTGCTTTCACCGAGAGAAGACGCGTAGGCCAAGTGGCTTCCTTAAGCCTTTCACCAATCGGCGTCACTTCGTCTCCACGATTCTAGGTGCAAAGAGCACCGAACCTAACGTCGGAGGACACGGGATGGCCAGTGGCGTATAATTTGGACTGCTTCATCTTCTTCCTCGCCACGACACCCTAGAATAAGTTCAGACAACCAGTGGCCACCCCTCGAAGTGAGTTCATCTGGGACGTTTTACCAGTGATGAAACCACTGGGTTTTTACCTCCAGGGGGTCTGGCCTCAGGGTCCTCACGGACTCACTGCGGAGGTTGGTCTGTAGAGTAACGCACTTCTCCAGAATCATTAGCCTGGGGTTAGACGAAATCCAATATTTACGCTGACCTTCACAGTAGTATCGGACTCCCTGGGCTGAGGGAACCTGGTCAAGCATCCCCGCCATTTGGCATGCCACCGTGTTACGTTCCACTGCTCGTAGTTGACCCTCCAGCCAGTTAGTTGGAACGTATCAGTCAGTATCTTAGCCCTACATGGCAAATGTACTATTCCATCCAACTACGCTATTGTATTCTTTCTTGGTCTCGTACTCGTAGGCTTATGATAAGTTCGAATGCTCAGTGATTGGCCTCTGCGTCTGTTAAGTTGTACAAGGACAATTCCTAAACTGAGTTGCGCAGAACTTTAAAGATCGTGCGGGGAACTTGTGATGTATCTTAAGGCCTCCCAAATGATACTGCCGTGGACAAACATCCTACCTCGCATGAAAGCCCCGCAAGGGTTATTTTTTCAGACGGTTAGCGTCCCTCGCACGTAAAAATCGCTACGTGTCAGTCTTCGGGCAAGACCAACAAGAAGAAAGCACAAAATTTGAAAAGTCAATCTTGGGTTATTTAGCTAGTTCCCTGCGCTCAGATGCTGTTAAACATGAACTAAGTAACCAGCTTTTTAAGTCAAAATGCATGAAGACTGCACAGCTTGGTGTCGTTTATATATCACGAATCTACTTATCAGCGTGACTGTCTACCAAAGTTCACTTCGCCTTCAGACAAAGCTGTAGGACGATTGAATATTTGCATTTTTGATGCACGGTTTTTATTTCATTTCATTATGTACATACACGTACGCATACATTCTTTCAGTCCAAGTGATTTGGCAAAGTGTGTCGAAAGTTCTGCCCAGTATTCCAAAAATATGTGTCGGATTAAAGTTATTGCTGCTATTCACAGGGTGCTTTATAAGGTTGTTCTAGACCACGGTAATGAGGCTTAAAGAATTGTCTTAGTACGAACTTGACAGACACAGGAGCCAGTCACTGAGCATTCGAACTTATCATAAGCCTACGAGTACGAGACCAAGAAAGAATACAATAGCGTAGTTGGATGGAATAGTACATTTGCCATGTAGGGCTAAGATACTGACTGATACGTTCCAACTAACTGGCTGGAGGGTCAACTACGAGCAGTGGAACGTAACACGGTGGCGTGCCAAATGGCGGGGATGCTTGACCAGGTTCCCTCAGCCCAGGGAGTCCGATACTACTGTGAAGGTCAGCGTAAATATTGGATTTCGTCTAACCCCAGGCTAATGATTCTGGAGAAGTGTGTGACAGTACAACGTGCACCATCTAGTGACACTACAAATTTAAGTGACACATTCTGACGAACAAGATTCATCAAGCCATCTCGCAATAAAACAGGAGAAAACAGCATTAAGAGATATTCATAGTATGACCATGACATCTCCAAATTTGTCTCTATATTTTAAATACCGAAGCCAGTTAACAGAAAAGCTTTCACAGCTAGCGGACTTCTAGTTACATACATAAACTTCCAAACAGAATTACAGTATTTTATGGAATGCTTCAACTGTAGTGTATTGTACACTCAATTTGTTAACTTGAGTTCAATTTTAAAATATTGCCCTAGCCTGGTATTCGTGTATTTTTGAATGTAGCCAGAGTCTTGGAGATAGCACGCTTTATATTTTCCTAAGGGATGAAGAGTCTTCCATGTAGTTTTTACTCTCAATGGGAAGACATTGTATACTAATTAGGGTCCTCTCATATTTATGGTCACATTTATTTCGAATACCTTCCTGATAATGTATAGTCTTCACGTCCAACAGTTTATCACAATATGAAAAGAGGAGATAATAATGGAGATCCTCGAGACTGGTCAGAAAACTCTGGAAGACGCTTACGACCTAGAAGCCCATATGTGTACAACAAAGCTGCCGACAGTTTCGTGTTTGATGCTGCTCATCAAGCCTTAGAAGCTCAGTACGAGAAATCATCTGTTTCTTGCGACTCTCGTCATTGTCTTGTGAAATTTATACGACCTGTTTCATTAGCCACTTTGAAAAGTTTGTCTCACACTAGGTTGAATGGGATGAAAGTTAACGTTACCTCCAGTACAAACTCAAAGAAAATTCAACCAATCTTGTGCAGTCGTACGAGTCACTGTATAGATGGATCCACGTCCAACAGTTCGTTGGCAAATGACTACAGTAGACTTTCAAAAGTTAGTTTAGTTGGAGATAAGCGAGATATACGGACTACTGATGCCTGTAGTAGGTGTTCGTTCGATTTAGTTGGTAATGAACAAGGTTTTCTACATAGTGCAAAGTCATTGAATTCAAGATTATTACACCAGAAGCACCACTTACTTAGTGATTTTAATTCCCTGGATGAAACGGCAACTAATATTGAGAACGTGATTCCTTTCCAACCGTCTGTATTACACCGCGAATTGCATACCTTACGAAAGCCGTATGTTACATCAAGTTTCAAAATCATTTCAGGTTCAGTCACGTCTGTAGCAATTGAAAAGACCACTAACAACGACATTAATTCAGTAGTCCCTGCACGTACTAACTCTGACTTACTCTCTGTGAAGAATGCTGGTTATTTAGTGAGACATAAAACGGAACAAATATTCGAAAACAAGCAAAGGTGTCTTAGTCCCTATGAAACAAGGCCTAATAGTAGAAATTCTATTATTTGCGACAGTCTGCAAAAATCGCAGTCGACTCCCACACCAAATCTAACGTACAAGAAGATCAAACAAGATTTTGAGTTATTCAAGAGAGAGATCAGTAGACACTTAAAAATAAGTGAAACAGTTAGTAACAATGTTGAGAAATCTGTGTATTTTGAAAACAAAGAAGACGGAGGTGTTTTTAAAGTTGTAGGTGATGGAAATCTCAACTGCGCAATACCTATTTACCAACCCTATTCTCATTCAGTCGTTATATTGAGGAATCATAATCCACGTACTGGAGAAGAATATCGCAGCGAGGAAAATGATTTTGATAAAGCTAAGGAAGGCAGTAATGTCGACATTTTTGGATGCACAGAATGTTCCCAAATACCTATTCAAAGGTGGGTATTGAATTAACATATCATTCATGTTTGAAAAAGTTATATTGTAAATGCTTTAGGGATGCTATTTTTCATAAATATCAACATGACAAAACGCAATTGCATTCTGAACGATAGTATAATGTTATGCATTAGTGCCATACACCATATTGATATCGACTAGTTGACTTGCAGAGGATCAAAACGCGTAGTTAAATAATGAAAACTATTAAAATCCTGATGTTATTTTGTCACTGTATTTGTCTCCATCGTAACTAAAATAAATAAGAATATATATTCAGCAAATTACCAATATTAACTAATCAAAATCCTCAACCAGTTTTGGCTGTTTCGTTTGATAGCACAATAAGACTAGATTATTCACTGATTCGTTAGTGAAGAGGAATCTATTTCATGTTGTCTATTCCTGAGTACTGACCGAATTCTATCCATCATTTCGCAATGTAGCCGCCAAGCTAGGAGACTGACAATCGCCGCGCACTTTGATAGGTGTTAGTCTGTTGCAGGCAATTGACAGGAAGCCCTGGATCGATGTTTCGTGCTCGTTGGCACTCGTCAGCAAAAGACATCTGCAGTGTTGAGGGTACTGATGTCGCCTATGAGGTCTGAACCCCGGGTCACCTAGTGTTGCAGTCTGCGACCTTACCAGTGGGTCCGAATCTCAGGGGAGACATCAGTTCCCTCGAGTTTGCAGATAGGCCTTGCCGACTAACGCCAATAAACATCAAACCTAGGTCAAGGGATTTCTGCTTATTGCCCCCAACCAACTCACACACAAGGCTAGGTAACAGTCAGGAAAATGATAGGCCACGTGACGGAAATACGACAAAAATGGGTTTGTTGGCTAGTTTTTCGGTTTTGTTCTTTGTTAAGTTCCATATGCCGATACAGTGAATGTTTTCTAGTACTTCGCATGCCGCTATATATTTTTTGTGGCACCACCTACAGGTTAGCCTCCTCAGCATAAAGTAATTTTTGTAACTCATATCTACGAAAACTCAATAGTTGTATTCAAATTTGTGTAGTTGAAAATCAGAAATATTTATTTTGTGAGGACTAATTTTCCTTCTCAAATCTCAATAAATGATTCAGCATTTAAAATCGTGACTTTTTCGGACTGTTTGGGCAAATGAACCACACTTTTACTTTTTAACTATTGCGATGCCTTACCACCATCTTTCGTTAGTAGTATTTAGACGGTAATATAACAAAAACAATATATTTTTATTTCAGCCAAGGAACTTATTTAGAGAACTGTATTAGGTATCAAGAACCTATTTATCTTCTTCCTAACATCACAGGGAAATACTTCGACGGGGTATGTATGACAGGGTGAGAATGTTTATATAGAGCATTCCCACTGCTTTTGAAGTGAAGACAGGAGTAAAACAAGGCTGCCTACTATTACCCATGATATTCCTGATTGTAATGGACTGGATCATGCAAGAAACAGTGAGAAGCGAGAAGAGGGGATACGCTGGACCGCGGTAAAGAACCTAGAAGATTTAGATTTCGCCGATGACTTATGTCTAATGTCGCACAAACTTGAAGATCTACAGGCGAAAACTAACAAGTCGACAGAAGAGGTAGGGCAGCGAAGGAAGACGGGACTTCAAGTGGATATAGAGAAGACAGAGATGATGAAGATATCCAACCAACGCCACTACCACCACCAACAAGCTCCAATCACCATCAGTGAGAGGAACTTAAAGAAAGTAGCCTCTTTCATCTATCTAGGCATCACTGTTTCAACTACAGGCGGTGGTGGCACAGACGAGGACATCAAAGCCAGCCAGGATCGGAAAAGCAAGACAGGCGTTCATTAGCGTGAAACCAGTGCAGAAATCTTCTGCACTCAGCATGAAGCTTGAACAACATCCGGATTTTCAACACCAACGTCAATCAAGTCAGTGCTGCTTTGTGGTTCAGAGACTTGGCGTGTTACAAAGGGCATTTCCAGCAAACTTCAGACATTCATCAACAACTGCAGCCTACGCCGGCTCGATACTGAACCTCAGATGGCCAGAATAGTAGGGATAAGCGACAACGAACTGTGGCTGGCTGTCAACCAACCAACCAACAACCTATCACTCAACAAATATGCAGAAGGAAGTGGAGACGGATTGGGCATACACTGAGAAGGCCGACTGCGGACATCACGCGCAAGACCAGGCACTCAAGTGGAACCCAGATGGGAAACGACGAGTTGGGCATCCGAGGTGAGGGTGACATGGAGGAGATGGTGTTAGGAAGAAATGACAGCTTGTGGGCTGTCGTGGCGACAGGTTGAAAGGATTTCAGAGAAGAGAGTGCACTGGAGACGTGCTATTGAAGCCCTTTGTTCCATTAGGAACCCAAGGGATAAACAATAATAATAATAATTCCCACTGCAATGTTTTTCCTAATCATTAATTTTAAGTGAGATGTTAAGTGCAATTCAACAGATGTTCATGTATATGACTGTGAACGACACTTATTATACGAAGGCTTATGTTACTTTTGGTTGACCAAACCAAAGTAAAAGAGGTGGGGTTACAACATAGAACCTATTGGTTAAAAGTTAACCGTGCAAGCCAACGAGCTGCACCTTCACTGAAACATAAGAGAGATAATAATTCCCATGGTAACTTAAAGAAAAAGATATTCAACGAAGAGACTTTCCAGCGAATTTGTTTTACAGCTGTACATTCGTACATATATGATACTTGAGAAAATATATCCCGTAAGGGAAGCTAAACACCATATGATGACATCAAAGTAGAATACGTAATATATGGAATGGTTCATAGAAGATATATATATATATATATATATATATATATATATATATATATATATATATATATATGAATGTACAGCTTGAAAACAAATTCGTTGGAAAAAGTCTTCGCTGAAAAGAGATAACCTATGCCAGTTTGTAAAGTATATGACTTTCCAGTATATAAACCAGTTCAATTTTTTCCTTCTCATCGTATTTGACTGTTTTTCTGATACTTTTATCTAAATCTCGGAAAGTTTCTTGATGAATGCTGCGAACCTTTTTAGTGGAGAAAACATTAGTACAATTTTCACGAACGTTACTTTCTTAACCGGTAGTTAATTGATGTTTGATTTACCAGTGGTTATTGATGTTCACTATGCTATTCACAAGCGTTTCAGAATATATACATTTGTCATGTTGTGGTAAATATCGGTCTTATAATCTAGGATTATTTTCGTTTTTTGTTTTGAATGAAGTGATAATACTTCTGCTCCACCACAAAATTGCATTGGATCTGGAGCTGATACTGGTTTCACACAAGCGGTAAGTTTGTCTTCTAACTGATAACATAGTGAAAGATAAACAAGAGGTTATATTATTTTATTTGTTAGTAAAAAGTTAAACACCATTCACATTCGCTATATATATACATGATTATTACTTTCATTTTACTGCCTTATAATATCTTCAAGCTTCTTGACTCTTGACTAAGTGGCTATTCTAGATATGATATTTGAATAGATCTTATTGTATAATGCCATATAACATCGAGTTAATTGATGCTTATCGTCTTGAACTCGTATTTAACGTGTTTTCGATACTTTGAATCTTTTGAGCTCAATTCCCTTACGGCTATCGTGAACTGTTCTTATCCAGTAGATATACGGAAATACGTTAAGCATAGCTTTAATTGAGGCTTCGAAAGAATTCTTATCTGTGTAACCAGTGTATTTCTGAGTATTCTGAAGTCATAAAGTCTATTTGGAGTTAAATAGATCGTAAACAAGAGTAATTCAGTGGGTTTCAAGAGTAGTAACCAAATATTAAATGAATTCTAAGTTTTATTTACATTTATTGTTTAGTTTCACTTCATGATACTTCATGATAGCATAATAGCATTTCAGAAAAGTTACAAACCACAGTTTTTTCTTTATTCTTTTGTTCATCTCTTGTTTCTTCGTAACTTTTATAAGCGCTCTAACTTTCTTTATTCCTTTAGTCAACCTTTCTGATGCCAAGTGTTTAGGGTTGTATTGTTACTGGAACTTACTTTTGCCGGGGTTTTATGTTAATACCTTTACCTTTAATCAAATAGTTTTTGTTTGATATAGCTTAAACATAACATTAAACTGACATTATTGTAGTTCATATGGCTTCTGCTGTAAACATGCTCATTATCGCCCTTGTGATTATTATGTTCAGTAACTTCTGTTCCTATCCTAACGGAAGTTTATTTATATTTAATTGATTGGTTTTATAAGTATTCCACACTCTTGTAAATAGTAATTGTGAATTTACAGTAATCAGTAAAGTGTTTTTCCCTGTGGATTGATTTATCCTATGGTTACTTATGGGATATTAGTACGCCAACAAAATCCAAACCAAGAAAATGCCTCAATATGAGTCAATTTGTAAACAGAAGACATTAGAAAATTGTATCACGATCGAATAACTACAACAAAAGTCTTTATTCTTTTTACCTTACATAGCTGTTGATGAACTACAGACATTCATCAACAGCTGCCTACTCTCGTTGCTGAAGATCAGATGACCAGAAAGAGTAAGCAACAAGGAACTCTGATCCGGCAACGAATCAACCAACAACCTGTCGTTCAACAAATATGCATTGGAAGGAAGTGGAGATGGATTGGGCATACACTGAGAAGGCCGACTGGGAACATCACGTGCCAGACCAGGCACTCGAGTGGAATCCAAAGGGAAAACGACGAGTTGTGCGTGCCAGCTGAGGGTGACATGAAGGAGATGATGTGAAAAAGAAATGAAAGCTTGTGGGGAGTCGTGGAGCCAGGTTGAAAAGAACACAGAGAAGAGAGTGGAATGGCGACGTGCTACTGAAGCGGTATGTTCGACTAGGAACCCAAGGGACAAATTAAAAAAACAATAGTGTCATCATATTTTTAAGTCACTAAATAACACTTGTTTTTGTCACATATTTAGATTTTGACGAATACTTTCTTCATTTGTTAATTATTTTAGGTCGATATTGTTGTAGTAGAGCGAATGTTATAGTGTCGACTAGTCTCAGGCAAGCAATTAATTCTGATCAAACAAAGCTTCTGTATTACCATCTTGTTTCACCAAGTCATTTGCAGCTAACTTGACGTAAATGAATAATTTAAGGTTTGTTGAGGTCTTTAAGACGATGCGATCCGGTGACAATATTTTTTCAAAGATACTATTTCAAACATATCCCACCATTACAGTTTTATCTATATTGCATTTTTTTCTCGGAAACGATTGGCTGTAATTGGAGCCTTATAGCGAGCCATTGTGTTTATTCATGTCTGCCAAGTGGAAACAGAAAAAAACTTGCATGCTTCCCCACAGAATGGCTTACATAATCTGAGGATCAAGCATTCGGTTTCAAAAATAATGTATAATCGGATATTACAATTCCCAGAATTAATTACAGTATAGATGGTCACCAAATGTTTGTAAACACCAACAAATCTTTGTCGCATCATCAGCGATAATTGGTGCATGACAACCCAACCTAGATGACTGAAAGGATAAGCAGGATTAAAGTCAGACTAAACGCTAACCAAAAAGTGTCTTTATATTTACTATGAATTGTGGTGGTTGACGAAAGCAAAAGATGAATAAGTCCCAGTGTAATATGGTTTTGTGGGTTTATTTAATCGAATGATCTGAAAAAGTGATGGTTGGTGAGGCTATTGATGATAGTTATAAACAGTTAATAGTCCACCAAAATAGTCTGTCTTTCACGAAACTAGGTTACCTATGAAATTGAGAAATCTACCTCTTCAGGTCTAATGTTAGACAGTGACCATTATCATCTGGATTCGAGGTGTTAATGCAGGCGAAAAACTTGAAAGCGTTAATGGTATTTTACTATCAGTATCTTAGAGGAACCGGTTGTAAAAGTACGAACCGTCTAGTGAAATTGTGTTTGCTAGAATTAGATTTTCAGGCTGGAAGTATTGTCAAAATACGTAGGAATGCGACAATCCTTTATACCTAGGAGTAGTAATATTTGCTGTTCCTGCCTTGATGATCAGTTACATAAAATAACATGATCTATGAATTGTAGTGGATATGGGTGATATGTCTTAGAATTGTTTGCACACAACCAGTTTACCTATGTTTACATAAGAACTGAAATTGTAAACCACTGAAAACCGACCCAGTGGTTGAATGGTTAACGCGTTCGCCGTGAAACCTGAAGGTCGTGAGTTCCATCCCTAGCCGGGTCAGTGCATGATGAATACTACATCTAAGGTTAGATTGTCTGCGTTTATACGTTCGCTTAAAAGATCGTGTAATGAAGACTGGAAGATCCTAAATTTAGTGACGACACTTACTGAAAATAATGCTAATCGAGCTGGCCTAATAATACGACAATGGCGAGTTTATGAATGGACGTGCAAGATTTTGTGCTAGCATTCTGCCCCATGTGAGTTAAGCCTGTCCACCAAAAGTATCTCGTGAGTATGCTTTGAGACAGAAATGAGGAAGAAAAGTGGATTCGCTGGGGACAATGTTATATAAAAAGCCTGCGACTAAATAACCCATAATCTTGGGGAATAATAGCAGCATCATGAAATTCGTATCTTGAATGTTTCTAATGACAAAATGAAAGTTTTAACTTAGAAGAGACATTTTGTAATTCCTTTTCAGTGGATTTGTACTCGTAGTTATCTGATAAATTTGCCTTGGTATTACGTTTTCTTCTGTAGATTGAAAAATCAGGTTGCCAGCAGCATTCATTGTCTTGCTCAGAAAGTCATGTGAAGGTTTATTCACAAAAACAAGTAGAAATTGATAGTGGAAATGGTACAGATGAAGACGATCATACTTCTAAAGAAAATACTCTATTGATTAATGCTTCAGTGGGTCAGAAAACAACTGACGGTATTAGTTATTCGAACAATAGTGATGTAGTTGAAGTAGATGAATGCTACTTGTCTGATGATGGTCAGATAGAAGACGACGAGGAAAGCCAAGGAGACAGTGATAAAAGTTCGGATAACGGACATCAATCAAATGAGGAAGTTTCAGCGTCTCCAACAAATAGCAGCTATAGTGAAACGTTGGGTAATAATTCTAGTGATATGAGTGTTCAACTGATCTACCAACTATAAATAAACTTTTGGAAGTCAGATGTGATAGTGAGAAATATCATTCAGACGAAACAGATCTGGATGCAAATGATAAACCAGAGATTATAGAAGTATATGTTGACGAAGATTCAAATACTGATTTATGTATATCATCTAAATTATCCAATCTTAAACTCAGTACTTTCTCTACAATTACAGAAAAACATTCTAAATTGTCTGTCACTTCATACGATCCTAGCACAACCAAGAAAGGTGAGTAGATTAGTTTCAAGGTTATTTGATATAGATTACTATCGACTTTCCCTACTATTGTTACTCATTCTTTATCATGATATGAAAGCCGTATGTGTTATTAAGCTTGTCATTTGGTCACTGTATTTAAGTTTCTTATCTTCATTTTGAAAAAGATGGGTTTAAAGACATCGGTGTTCTCATCTAGTTTGCCTTTACTGTGGTAAAGTCTTTAAACGTATCTATTCTATTCCTGTTTGAAGGGATTTTACCAACCTTAGCAATTTTGTCGTTAAAAAAGCTTTAAGCTTGATACAGAGGAATCAGTTAGAACACACTAACCTGCACTATCTTTGGTACTGAATAGATGTACGTTTATCCATGAAGGGTAAACTATGAATCATAAGTGTGAGTTGTTCTAGACGAATATTAAAATCGAATGAGGAAATTTTAGGGATATTTATTGGAATTATCTTCCAATCTTTGATGTAAACACTAAACATTTTAAGACTATGTGTTTCCATTCAGAAGCGACAACTTATTCATCAAAGTTATGATATTTTGACCATATCCTTCACCACATTCAGTTATGTCGATCAATTTTCAATGGTTTTGCAGTTTGATGGGTATGATATAGGTTGCTTTATGGTGGTTAATTGAATGCATATTGATGTAGGTCTTATAGGTAAGTGTTGGCATCTTGACAGCAAGCTTAAAGCAGCCGATACCAGTTTCAAGACCTTATATGATATAGTTCCAAATAAGCAATAGTTGAGCAAGGGTATTTGTTTGTTTTTTAACGTTAAATTTCAGCTTTATTACTCTAACCCTTTCCACTTCTTTTGTTTTCTTGAGTTCGTTGTGGAGCACTTACGTCTTTTCCATATCGGGAAGTTGAACAAGGTGAATGAATAAATAACTGCCGAATATTTGGTTTTATCATTCGGTACCTCTCTCTTGCTTTGCGCTTTTTAATAATCTCATTTTCAGACTTTATGCATACATTGAATCTTTAGTGAGTTATACTGACATGAACTGTTAGATACCACTCTCGTTATTATGTAAAACGCGCAAACTCTACTATAGTGATGCGAAAATTGATTTCTTCTAGTGTTTTGCTTAAAGTGGGGACTCGAAAGTATCACTGATGGGATTTCTAACATTCACCTGTGGTTTATTGTTTGTAGTAATGAAATTAGGACGAGAATGTTTGAAATGCTAGACATAATGAATTTTGTTACTCCATATCAAATGACAAACCTCCGAATATTAGACAATTTCCAATCTCTCAGGTTATCTGGGATGGATATAGTTGGAAGATTTATGTGATGGTTTTTATGCTTACATAGGTGCTTGGAGTTGAATAAAAGCCTAGTTGAGGGCTTTGAATAATCGGAGTGGCCCCTAACTTACTGATCAGGTGTTCCATCAACTGCAATATGAGACTTAGTCAACATCTGGGTTAGTTACAACTCAACGTCCATTAGTGATTGGCTTTGAAACTTAATGAAATGCTGCAACTTATAGGGTCAGTCAAGTCATCTTTTATGAGGATAATTCTCTACGTAATACGTTATGTAACTGGCTTACTGTAACACAAATCAGTAGATTTTGAAAAGTGCTAATCACTAAAGTAGATGACAATGAGCTCCCCTGAAAACTGATGTTCTTGTTTTCGATCCGCACGAGGTTGTGAGTTCGCACTCTTAAGAAGTCTTAGACTAATATGAAAAAAACTTTCCAATGCCGGTTGATTTATGCTTTTTTTTGAATAACTTCAATCTCTATTGAGAATTTTACTATTCAACACTCTATCAATCAGCGCTTTCCTTTAGGAGCGAAACATTCTACAAAACGCAATGTATTCATGGAATTCTCTTGTTTTTTAATAAACTGAAATAGTCTAAAATATGTAGATTATGATAAATACGTACGTAAGTGACATTTTTATCACTGCTTCATTACTACGGATTACCGCAAACTTTTATCAGCCTCATTCAACAACTATATGAAGATGCCACATGCCAAGTAATTCACAATGGAAAGATCAGTGATGTTTTTGAAGTGAAGTGAAGACGGGAGTGAAACAAGGCTGTCTACTATCACATATGATCTTCCTGATTGTGGTGGACTGGATCATGCAGCAAACAGTGGGGAGCGAGAAGAAGGGGATACGCTGGACTGCGGAAAAGAACCTAGAAGACTTGGATTTCGCCGATGATTTGCGCCTGATGTCACATAAACTTGAAGATCTACAGGCGAAAACTAACAAGTTGACAGAAGAGGCTAGGCAGCGAAGGCGGGACTTCAAGTGAATATAGAGAAGACAGAAGTGATGAAGATACCGCACCACAACCGCCAACAACAACAACAACAAACTCCAGTCACCATCAATGGGAGAAACTTAAAGGAAGTAACCTCCTTCACCTATCTAGGAAGCACTGTTTCAACTACAGGTGGCACAGACGAGGATGTCAAAGTCAGAATCGGAAAAGCAAGACAGGTGTTCATTAGCCTGAAACCAGTGTGGAGATCTTCTGCACTCAGCATGTGGAACAAGATACGGATTTTCAACACCAACGTCAATCAAGTCAGTGCTTCTGTATGGTTCAGAGACTTGGTGCGTCACGAAAGGGATTTCCGACAAACTACAGACATTCATCAACAACTGCTTACGCTAGTTCGTTACTGAAGATCAGATGGCCAGAATGAATAAGCAAGAAGGAGCTCTGGGAACGAACCAACCAAGAACCTATCACGCAACAAATATGCAGGAGGAAATGGAGATGGATTGGGCATACACTGAGAAGGCCGAGTGAGGACGTCACGCTTCAGGCCAGGTACTGGAGTGGAATCGCCATGGGAAGCGACGAGTTGGACGTCCGAGGGTGACATGGAGGAGATCGTGCGAGGAAGAAATGAGAGGTTGTGGGCTGTCGTGGAACCAGGTTCAAAAGATCTCAGAGAAGAGAGTTGAGTGGAGACGTGCTACTGAAGCCCTATGTTGCATTAGGAACCCAAGGGACTAATAATAATAATAATAAGTGACATTTTTATCATTAAGTATAAAATAGTTGACTGGTCAAAGATAGTAAAAGAGCAAAATGAAACTGAAATCAAATAACGACCAGAACATATTGGAAAAATTGATCAAATCTTTTCCTCCTTGTTATGATCAAACCTTCATCATGGAAATTCCAGGAAATAGAATATTGGGTCAGAGTAATTTTAAAAGTCAATACTAAAACGATAGCATAATAAAGTTAGGAATAACTTTTGTGAATACCGTCCACAGTGAGTCAAAAATATCAAGGGTTTTTAATATGACTATTCGATATATCTTATCAGTATACATGAAGTAGGATTGAATTGCTTTCTTCTTTAGGTGAATTCAACATGTACCACCAAAGTATGTTATACATGATAGAAAATTTCTTTCCATATGGTCATTAGGAAGTAATACAGTCACTTGATAGGTGATGTAAGCAGACTTAAACACTTGCTCAGTTTCTGATTCTAAGTTACATAGGTTGTTTAATTGTTCAGTGTTTTATTTAGGTAAACAAAGTAAATCGGCTCTATATTAATGATGGATAGTGGCTAGCAGTGGAATCCAGGATGCGCGTTTCTTCCTACTTGGGACTCGTCAGCTGGATATACCTGCCTCCTAGTGAGTGATGTTGTTCCCATCGGAACTCGAACTCGGAGCCGATTGCTTCAAACACCAGATCGTTATCCAGTAAACCACTGAGCCGCAGTAGCCATATACTGTGCGACGGGCATAGTTTTTTAAAATTTTGTTACTTGTATTATCCCGTCGTTGATTAGACCGAATTGATCGATCACTGGGAGGCAGATACATCCCGCTAACAAGTCCCAAATAGGACGAAAAGCGCGTCCTCGATTTCACTGCTAGCCACTATCCATTATTAATACATAGTTGAAACACAGAAAATATCGAGGCATCCGTGCAGGAGCCCATATGCCAATAGAGACCGATCGATTCGGTCTAATCAACGACGGGATGATACAAACAATAACATTAATGATGAACTGGTTCCATTTGATTGCTTTTATCACTGAAAGCCCTGTAAAAAATAAGTCACCATTTACACCTAATAGGATTTCTCATTGGGATGCGCTTGATGTGTTTTCAGATCAGCAAAAAACATTTTGGATATGTAGTGAAACTTAATCTCCTTAGACTGCTGATATAAATTGGATCACAATAACCGAAAAGAGTTTGGTGTACTTAGCAATGAATCATACAAACTGTGTATGACTGATGAATATTGACTTATTATATTGGGATTTAGAATCACAAGTAATTCCATGTTGGATCAATCTATTACTTACTACATAACGTTTTCAAAATAGTTTATTGCTCATATTTATATCACCATGTGCTATATTAAATAGACTGGTCTAATATATAGTCACATTCTATCAGTGTCCGAATGGTATATTTAAGCCAAAAGTAAGTCTAACCTAGGGTCAGTGGACACCTATTTTGTCCTAGTATGAAACTCCTCAGCAATATCCATCCACGACTGCGTCAGGGAAGCCGTGACTTGTAGGGTCAACCATTCGGAAGTGAAGTGGATAGCAACTGAGGGCATTGGTGAACAATTGCGTTATATTGCAAATTGATAGAAGTGGCAAACTGGGAATAATTGAACTCCAATTCAGTAGCCGATTGGTTAAGGTGTTTGCTGCGAAACCTGAAGATGCTGAGTTTGACTTCTGATAGGGTATTGGGTGCACACTGCTGAGGAGTCCCACATGAGAACGAAACAGCTGTCCAATGTTCTTACGTTCTCACTGGTACTCCATCTGATGTCAGTCCGTGATGAATACTATCTTGAGAGAGCTTACGGCTTAAATTCAACACTTCCTGCTGATCTTCACTAATCACCCACAAGTTAATAATTTCCCTCTAAAATGTTTTAAGCAAAAAAGACAGGTTAAAAATGAAAGAAAGGCTTAAAATGTTTACTTGTAACTCTCAAAAAACCACCTAAAAATTGGTTACATGTATATACTTTTTTAAAGAAATAAATAAGTTCCTCATGGTATATGTTTTCAGTGAGTTTTATATACAGTTTTTTATGAGTGTTATAGTGAGTTTAAGTGAAGATGATATTTTTATACTAAGCGCTAACCGTCTCGTATTTTCTAATTCTATTCGATAGTCAGTAAATATCAAAATGATATGCTGATCATATTCATTGTTCATCAATTCATTTCATCTTATAGATATACTATCTGCAGGTAGGTCTATTCCATCCATCGAACAGAAGGTGATCAGTAAAGATGATCGAGCCTCAATTTCATCACAGTCATCTAAGTTATCTAACAATCATAATATTCCAACAGAAAATTCTATCAAAGATGAGAAAACGTTAAACTTGGTAAATTCATTTCAATGATTTGATAATGAATCTCTTCATTTTTACTAGATGAACTCTAAATTATCTGATGAATCATCAAAATCTGTTGCTGATCTAGACGACTCATCGTCAATTAATTTCTGTTCTAAAGAAATTAAAGTGAAGACGAAAAAGATTCTTATAAATCGATTCGCTCAGTGTATTAAGAAATCTCATCCAGCTTTAATTGATTCACTGTTTCCACACGTTCCACCGGTATTAAGATTTGTTGAAGAAGGACAAAAATGTAAGTTTAAAAAAAAGGCCTGTATTCTTGACAATCTGAATCTGATCAACTGAACTAGGTGAACTATCGCATCAAGATCGATATAAAAATTGTTTAAACTATCCAGTGTTTTATAGTAATGATGTCTAGTGGCTAACAGTAGGATCCAGGGCACTTCAACTGGAACGATACTGTCCCCACCAAGACTCGAACCCGAAACTGATCACTTCAAATACCAGAGCGTTATCTACCGAATCATAATAGCCTCTTCTTGTTCGACTGGTATGGTTGTTTTGTTGTTGCTTGAATGCCACTCCTAGCCACTAACCTTCATTACTAATAAAAATGAAAAAAACACAATATCGACGTATCCTCACTGGTGGCCAATACAGATCGATCAGTTTGGTCCAATCAGCGACAGGATAATACAAGCAACCAGGTATTCAGTGTTTTATCCATTCATCAAATGAAACTAAGTTATATATTGGCTATCAAAGCTCTTAGAAAGTCTGATACCAGTAATATCCACTACAAAACGTGCATACAAGTTATTCAAAGTTAAAAATGAATGTGGAAGTGATGTAATAATAATAATGGTCGCTTTATTCCAAACAATATGTATGATGACAGTATGGAATTCTCAGCATGTAGTTTTTCAACAGATTCACTCCGAGAACAATACTTTCAGATGAAACGGTTACTCCAGCTGTATAATGTTAATAATTACAGTATTGAATTAAAGGCAATAATATGAAGTAGCTAGCTGTTTGTGGATGGGCATCCGGTCCATAATCAAGAATCAACAGAGGAGGTTCATTCATTCATTCAGAGGGTATAAAAATCTTCAAATCAAGCTAAGCATTTGATGGATAGGAAGATGATGTACTTTTTTTATACCGAAAAGTTCACCTTCATATAATGTAACAATTTTTCTCTGCTTTGTGATGAACTCGAGAAACGTAGAGTTGAAAATAGTTTAAAAATGTTCAAGAGTACATGATACGTTCAAAGAATATATTTAAATGATTAAAACAAATTGAAAGGAAATAATTTGATGAAAAATGTTCGGTGGATAAATTTGGTAACCCATGGTTCAAGCAGACCGCCAACGGAATGTAGATTGACTTTACAAATTCTACATATTGGAACTAATTTTTACTGGCTAGTAGTCTTGTGATTTTCATGATAATACTGGGACCTAATAACCCTAGACAGTTTATTCGACTACATTATAAATTACTATGTTAAAGGCGTATGTAATATATGGTTGCATGAACCTCATAAGGTGATCAGGAATGGAAACATAAGATTTGTCGGTTGTTAGCGTATAGCTGATCCTATGACAAATAGGTCAGTCGAGTGATGATGTCCTGGAATGTATCCTGAGTTGAAATCATAATAGCAAGTAGATCAAATATTCCCAAAGCTATTACTCATTTTGTTTATGTTTGAGCTTTGGTGTGCTATTTTTTGCATTGGTTTAAATTAGAATCCTTCAGTCTTTTCAGACCCCAAGATATAATAAATACTATCGCTTGAAATTCATTGATTACCCTACAAAGCATCAATTAAATTTCTGTCTATTAGTCATTGGTCGCTTGACACTAGATGGATTTTTCGTAAATCTAGTAACAAGCAGTAATTTGTAGAGTCAGCCAAGTCGGGTGTTAGGCCGTATATTTCCCATGATGGTCATGCTACCTCACGAATTCATAAGAATAAGGAAATGAAAGATTGAATTCCAAATCACTGGCTGAATACTAACTTGTTGACCGCGAGATCTAAAAGTCATGCGTTTCATTTCTGATGAGGTTGTCGTTACTCACCATTGTGAAGTCTCAAATTAAAACCTGGTTATTTGATTTATAAAACATAGTGATACAGTTTTACTTACTGGATGACCGTTTCCAGCATAAATTATTTCTCAATCAACTCAGCGTAATTACACTACTTTCAACAGTCGACAGAAAAGTTTCCCATATCTCTCGTATGGGTGTTGAATCATTCCTGTTACATGTATTGGGTGTTAATTTGATTAACAAAGATTTAGTATTTCAAGTTGTTATTCATCGAAGACTGACATCAGTTGGAGGAACAAAGGAAACCTGGGAGCACTGGACAGCTGTTTCGTCCTACTATGGGACTCCTCAGCAGTGCGCACCCACGACCCCACCCTGCTGGTGGGGTCGTGGGTGCGCACTGCTGAGGAGTCCCATAGTAGGACGAAACAGCTGTCCAGTGCTCCCAGGTTTCCTTTGTTCCTCCAACTGATGTCAGTCTTCGATGAATAACAACTTGAAATATTTCCAAATCTCCACAACCCCCTCAAAATTTAAAAGATTTAGTAACCGACGCCTCTCTCTCTTTCTCCACCTAATTATATTGGACTTCAGTAAAGTGGTTTTATCTCACTCAGCCTTCTATGGGTTGTGTTAGTTCACGCATTGTCCTTTCCTATATTATTCATCTTATTGGGGTCTGTCATTCTTTCTATATTTAGCCAGATTCCTATGTTCGGCTATTCTAACTGACCTCGACTGGCTTGTTCCACCAATGTACTTGACCTCACTCACAGTGATTGGATGGAATTTGATAGATTAGATTATTTCGTATAGTTGGTTCTATCCGATCGTGGAGCTGGAGCCAGCGACAAAGCTTATGTGTGAGTGAGTTTGTAGGTTTGAGTGTCACAGTGATTGGAGGTTTGTTGAGAATCCTATAGTAGGTAAAGGACTTACTGACTATTCAGTGATGCATTCGTATTATTTTGAGTTTCATTTATTGTGTATGAGAAATGATTTTTTCTCTTACTAAATGCGATACGAAAAGAGTCAATACAGTACGATCAACTTGTAAGTCTTCATGAACACCATTCTGTTTGGATTTTGAGGATGACTGTAACCCGGCTGCAATCAGTTAATCAATAATTTTGTCTCATGAGCACATATCATTTGACAGAGGTACACATCGTGTCATTACTGATCGATCGATCATTCCAGCAACTATTATATCCTACAAGCAGGTGAAATGAAAATCTGGACCATGGCAGAATTCGAACCAGTGACCACGAGGTTTCCAACCTGGTCTCCTACCAACTGAATTAGGAGACCCGACTACTGAGTAGATTTTTAATTCACTCCAATCACCAAGAGTTTCGCTCGACTGTCATGTGAAATATAGAAATATAGACCACTGGATTCCGATCCAGTTTCTCAGTGGTAACCCGCTGACCATGGGACCTGAAGGCCCTGGGTTCGATCCTTGGCAACGTCATGGGCTCACACTGCTGAGGAGTCCCATACTAGAACGAGACAGGTGTCTAGTCTCCCAGGTTTCTATTAGTTCTCCAACTGATGTTATTCTTTGATGAATACCGACCTGAAATATATCTAAAAATGGCAGCTAGTTGTTCATCTCTTTTGATTTTGAGGCGCCATCGCATCATGACGTTTATCATATAAAATCTACCATCCACATGTCTTTTGTAAGGTTAGACACTTCCAATGAGATCACTAGCTAGGTTTTCAACATATAGCATACACATCAGCTAGAAAATGTTCCGTAGGACTACCTATCGTAATGCCATCAATCTATCGAAAGTATTTATCTTTGAATTTGAAATGAACTTTGTCAATGCTTAGGAAAGTAAGAAGGATAGTCAATAGATTATTCAGAGAAATCTAGTTGCAAAGACTATCAACCGTCTTTATCAGCGAAACATTAATTAACAAATAATTTACACTGAAGTAGTATATAGTCTTATCCTTGATGTTAATATCACTGAAGGTCAAATTTATCTTTCAGTGAGAACAAACAGAATTGACTTCTGATAGGATTCGAGAATTCGGCTAACTACTGACCTTGGTTACGTGTGAGTGATCCACACACACACACACACACACACACACACACACACAATACTGGACACACCGGTTTATATGTTTTAGATAACCCATATATGGGTGCAGCTTTTCAGTTCTTGTAGGTCTTAGGCATATAGACTCATCGTTACTGATAAAACTCTTATTAAAAGTTTCCCATCAAGTAAGGATTAATTCTTTCTTCCTATTCTTAAGTTTCATATTAATTTAACTAATCTTGTTGTAAATTTTCATACAAATAATTCGACAAGTTCACATGTGATCGAATTGTTTGAAATGTATAAGCGCTGACGCATAATATGCTTCAAGCTATATTCGTCCTCTCATTACGTTTATCAAGGGAACTAACAGCTTTATAATAAAATGATTGTTTGAATCCTACTTAGGCTCAGGGATGAATTTATGAATGAGTGAGCAGTTCAAATGGTTTGCGACCTCAGTCAACACCGGATTACTGGGAGTTAGTTATCTTCTAACCATTTTGTACAATAAATTTATTTCTAGTGGGGATTTTTAAGTATAATTAAGTGATACAGAACAAAAGTTCCATCTTTGGTTATTGCTTGCCCATTACCTCAACTAATAGTTATCATGGGGTATATTTTATCATCATTATTAGAGGTGAATATTGATTTTTTCGGGATCACTGTACGTTTATCAGCCTATAAAATTATTTGGAGTGAAGTCATTATGTCAACTAGCGTCTAAACCATGAGTTTCAAGCAAATTAGTACAATCTTTTGTATAAAGTCAGTGACAATCATATGAAAACCTGATATTAAGGCTTAGTTGATAAATTCTCACCTACGAAGCATCCACAGTTTACAAGTTTAGAACTCTGTCTAAGTCAAATATTCGTCTCAGGATCTGTAATAGCTGCTGGGTTAGGTTAATTCACATGCTATTTTCAGTCCCAGTTAAGCCGTAGCGTGTCATATGAGTTTTTATCTTTCTTCGGCTGATTAGTAGAACATTTATAACTATATGAGCTGGAATGTGTTTAAGGTTTGTTGTATTAGACCATCCGTTACTTACTGATGTCCAGCTGATGCATAATGTCACTCTAATTAATGAGATAATTACTAGATTCAGAACTCAGTTCAGATACTACAACTCATTATGTGGATATCTACTTGATGGCTAGCGGTGAAATTGAAGACGCGCGTTTCTTCCTATTTGGGACTCGTCAGCTGAATAAGCATGCACCCCAATTGAGGTTGAACAATTTGACCCTGTATAGCAACGGGAAATTACATGTATCAAGAATACTCCTAGCACTCATTTTCTAAGAGGCATCTGGAAATGATGAGTTACCAGCAGTATCTATCATTCAATAAGTTTTTTAAATTTTTCTTTGATAACATATACTAGGAAGCGTTTATATTTCAGTCAGTATATTTGTGTTTTTATTTTCATAGTGGAACCATTACCATGGGAATTTCGTCGATCATTGAAGTGGAGAGCAAGTTTATTAACTCCTATTGTAGTTAAACAAACTTTGCAACGCAGTGGGTTTAGAGCTTCCAAATGCAAGTATCTACTGTTTTTTTTCTCCCCTTCAAAATGCATTTGAGTATCTGAGATTTTTTCCCCCTTCGTGAACATGATATTAATAGTAAGGTGGTAGTATTATGGGTTGACATCGGTTGGAGAACCATTCGAAGTACTGGATAGTTGAGGAGTCTCATACTCTGACGAAATAGCTGTTTGATGCTCCCAGATCTTCAGTGTTTCCTCAACTGCTGTCAGTCCTTGATGAATTTCCCATTAACCCTTAAGATACCTTTCGTTAACACAGTCGAAATTATAGTCATCCGTGAGAACTGGTTGATTTTTACCCTCTTCTTTTTGGATGTTGATGCATTCGCTGAAAAGTTTTTCGTGTGTTATGTACAAATGAAATATTGTTACTTCAACGAAAGCACTTACCTTTCACTTCTTCACTGTATTAGTTTAGTTCAAAGACCTATTAGAGAGAATAAAAGTACAGTCTTACTTTCATGAGTAGAAATTAATTGGTTGATTTTTAAGCTGGATACCATCCGTGACTGATTATTCATTACTGGAAGGTTATACAGTGACTATTAAAGATTGGTCATATCTTTATTCACAAGCAACTGTCCTAATTCATTCGTATCTCTGATCTGTTTTCTTTACTTCTGTCCGGTTCTTACGTTTGTATACTTTTGAAAACGTAGACACTTAATGGTTTTTACAATTTAGTCTTGTTGATTTCATTCACTTCTCTCGACTACCAGTCTACTGTACACTTAGCCTAGACATAAATCCAGTAAAACTACGCCTACGAATGCTCAAGTTAGGGTTAAAATAGATCAGTGAAATGCATCAGTACAAAAATAGGTCTCGCATGACTATACATCGGTTTAACTTACCGCAAATCACTATACTACTTTGAACTGTGAGTTAACAAGTAGTTTGTAAATGAAGATAATAATAATACGAGAAGTTGGAGAAAGAGGTACACGAATAAATTGACGTAGAAAATAACAGTAAGGTATATCACTTCAAGTTGCCACACTTCACGACAGCATGAAAAGAATTGGGCAGGGTAAAGTGATATTAAGGTAGACAAAATCGTGAAAGAAGGGATAAATAGATGAAGACTAACCTAAATGTTCAAGGATGAAAAGGGACGTATACCGGTTCACTATTGTGACTGGATTTGAGTCATATCAGAGAGAGTCTGTTGTCACTGATTCATGTAGTCTTGAAGAAGCCAGCCAGTTCACCAACACCTTCATACACGCCTCACACGAACAATACAAAATTTTATGGATTTGTGTTAAATCTTGGTTTCTCTGTCTGTAGATTCCTTTCAACCTAATTCTATGTTGGCTAATATCATAATTTCAGGTAGGTGATGGTCCGGCACCCCCAGCACATGTTTATGCCATCTCAGTCGTTGAAGATTCATGACTTCATCGACTGACCTGCCTTCCTTATCGTATACCCTACGTTGTGATTCCATCATATGCTAGCAATTGTATGAAGATATCTGTGGTCAAAACCTGTAACGTCCTCAAATCTTCAACTTTCAAGAACTAAATTTTAGCCGTATAAAAAGACAGCAAACTGCAGTGCTGCAGTATAGTCATCCCCCCCCCTCCTCCACAGATAACTGAACAATTCATCGGCTTCAGAGATGCCTTTAGATGGCAAATACTGAAGAGGCATTTTGTATCCGAACGGATACTTAGTCGCCAACCTATGATTTATAGCTAATGGAAATTCCGAAGTAGGTGAAGTGGTCAACATGCCATGTCATTCTCCTGTCCCTTAACTCGGAGTCAGTGTTGAAAACCTCAGTACAAAAACAAAAAGGTGGAGGCGAGTAAAGATATATCGTTTCGCGATTAAGATAATACAGGATTGTATCTACCCCCCATCGTGGTTGATTTTTTAGCCATATCGCATAACTTTTTTAGCAATTCCACCTCACATGCTACATGTTGCAAAGCAACAGGATGCAAGCATCTAACGCCTTTTCGAATCCTCCAACTCCATAAATCACTTTTTAAAGCCGCAGAGCATGACAGAGCAAACAGAAAAGCAGTACCGTGTGTTATGAATAAGCAACCGGATATTTCATTGCTGTTTTAAGTGTTGTCCTGGTAGCCTGTCTCCAGTCAATCTATCAGGGCTGATGTGATTGGCCAGCTTTTTGAAGAGGTCAGTTGTTTAACTCTCTACTGTTATATGTCGTATTGATGCAGACCAGTCTTGAAGTAGCAATTCGTATTTAGAGAGTGAGGAACACGTCCCATATATTCCGTCTTTTTCATTTCAAATTTTCAGTAGTTGATGTGTTTTGTTGGTGCCTCCTTCTTTATGTTCTCGCTATATTGAAGATTCTTCCTCAAGGTGAGTGTGTTGACCACTTCACTTACGTGGGAAGTAGGATCAGCCCTCATGGTTCAGTGGTCGGCGAAATCTCTGCACGGATACAAAAGGCTCGATTGGCTTCCGCCGACTTACGCCACCTGTGGCGCCGCCGTCACATTCGATTGTCTACTAAGCTAAGGGTAGCGTATACTGCACAGCAGTCCATTCTGTTCCACTATATGGCTGTGAAACATGGCCATTGAAAGTGGAAGACACGAGAAGGCTTCAAGTGTTTAACCACCGTTACCTTCGTAGTATAGGCCGCCGTATTCCGTGGTGTCACCATGTGAGTAATGCAGAAGTTAGAAGTACAGTTCTAGGGAGTAGAGGTAAATCAGTTGACGAGGTTATGAACCTTCATCGATTGAGATGGCTGACTGGGACACGTACTACGTATGCCTAGTCACCTACTGCCTCGTCACACAATGTTGGCCGAAGTAGGTCCAGACTGGAAAAAGGCTCGAGGTGGCCAGACTAAAACATGGCACCAATGTATGAAGTCTCTGACTGTTGGTTTCAGCCATGTGAGGTGATGCAGACTAGGTGGTTGGGGTCGGCGAGACAAGAGGAACCAGTGGTTGGAGACTGACTCTAGGTGATGGTATGGCTGAGAACCGATGTCAGTGGTGCAGATGTATACATACATTATCCTCATCTTAACAACGCTATACCGAATCTCACCACTTTCTCATTCTTCCTTTCTTTTCGTACTTTATATTTCTTCTGACTGCATTCTCTTATCTTCATCTTTTGTCTTACTGCCTTTTTACTTGATGTAGTGATATGAGGTGTGGTAACTCGGACCGTTACTCAGAAATGCCTGGTCCTAAGTTGATCTGGATCTTCAAGGTGACCAATTGCTGTAACGTCAGACTACAGGAAGGTGTGAATAATCTTATCCAGGATAAATTCAATTATAAATTGACAGTGTGACCCCCCCCTTTATGAAAATGACTTGTCAGCAATAAACGAAATTGATAATTACTTCAAAAAAGGATGATTCTACCGAATTTCAGTGACTTTATTTACGAAACGTGGTATTTAAGTTACTCTGTTATGCATTTACTTATTAGCTCTCTAAAAAAGGGAGTAAAATGTTCTTCTAGACAAAGCAAACAATTATAATTATCATATACTTTCGCATATCAATGATAACTTCACTATTATTTAGGGTAATGCTTTGAAATATATATTCATCCAAGTTTGTTATCGTTTAATTTCCTTAATTTGATTTTTTTTTCATTTATTTTCATTATCTAGTAACCACGGCTGCTGAAGACTTAGAAACAGTTGGTAAGTTTTAGGGAAAAAAAAACATCCTAACTTTGTTTTTTTTTTTACCATAAGATCCAACGATTTTTTCATTATCAGTAATAAACATAATATTCATGAAACAATATATTGTCGTAATGCCTCTCGGTCTAAGGACAACTTTCAATTAAACCCGAAGATATCCTCTCTCTCTTGAATATTTCACAGGAAGAAAGTAGATGAGTTCATTACTCTGTTGTTTTTCACATCGATTGTATTGATTTCTTTGCTGATAAACACATTAGGAGTTAGATACTGCAATCAATAGGTGATTAACTCAATCACTCATTGAAGTTCTCTTGTCAGTTACCCATTTTTGTGTAGTAAAATCATCATTTATTTACATTTCCTAGTGTTTACCAATTTCCTTTATCTTGCATTTTCTAATAATTGGGACACCTGACGAGTAATACTGATTCATTGGAATATTTGTACCACTTCAGACTTTGAGACATCTCACTGTTTGCTGTCGTACTCAAGCTTCTGACAAATGTTTTTTTCGTAGTTGATGCTTCTAATTATCTCGGTAGTACTCCAGTATTTACCTTTCAAAAATGGTTAATAAAACACTTTCAAGATTTATAAGTTATGAATTAACTCAGTCAGACCATCTAATTGTATATGATTAACTCTTATATGCTGTGGATTTTATAATGGTTATCTTGGAGTGTGCATTACCATATTGAAAACACGGGTTCACCGGAGTTAAGGGACAATAGGCCTAGTTAGTACTTGCACGAGTAACCACCTGGTGATACTAGATGTCACTAGCTTTTGCTGGAGTTTGGTCGATTGACCTAAGCACACGATTTCTAATCATTGGATCATGGCTCCGAACTCTGCTTCTTATATTAAAGTTTGAGGGACCAGGCAGCGTTCTTAGTCCTGACATAATGGATATGGTTAATTGTGTACTTCTTAAGCATGCATAAGGTTGTTGAATACATTTCAATTTTGATACTTTTACTATTTATGTTACCGTTTCCAAGTATTAACTTTGTAGCAATATTTCAAGTTGTTATTCATCGTAGACTGACATCAGTTCGAGGAACAAAGCAAATTTGGGAGCACTGGACAGCTGTTTTGTCCTAGTATGAGGCTCCCCAGCAGTGCGCACCCACGACCCCGCCCTCCAGGGATCGAACCCGCGACCCTCAGGTTACCATTGAGCCACTGGGTCAGAATCCAATGCTCCATATTTCCAACTTTTGTTAGCTCACGATATAGTGCAACCGCCACCCAATGTCATTGTTGAGTAACTGTCCTCACGACCATCAGGCTTTAACTCCACCGGTCGCGACTTCGTATTGGAACTTCGGGAATACTTCTCGAAGCTAGTCACCAATGAGCAATATTTTTATTTTGGCAGTTGATACCTAGACATATTAGCGTCTAAAACAGAGTAAAAACATTTCAACAGCTGTCATTTTGCAGGTTGTTTCTTTGAATCTAAACTCATTGATCTTTTTTATTTTAACGTTTCTATGTTATAGGAAAAGACAAGACATGTGGTTTCAGCGAAGAAAAAATTTCTTCTCGATGAAGTCATTTACTAAGCTGTACATTCGTGAATATATGTTACAGGAGGTAGGGTGTTCCACAATTGTTTCCGGTCAGAGGGCAAAATATATTGAATGACGAAAGGAAGTTAATTAATACACACACATTTGTGTTTAGAGTGGGAAGATAGACAGGGGCGTAAGTTGGCGAAAGCCAATCGAGCCTTTTGTATCCGTGCAGAGATTTCGCCGACTACTGAACCATGAGGGCTGATCCTACTTCCCACGTAAGTGAAGTGGTCAACACACTTAACCACTTCACTCTCTGTTTTTAGCCGTGGCACTGCCGGAGACCCGTTCTGGAGCAAAAGTTTGCACTTGGGTGGTGAGAACCGCATCCCAAACCTTCTGTAATTCCCACTCAAAGTGTTCAGAAGACCCTGAATCTTATCTTCACTTAACAGGACTATGTCATCTACATTGTTTAGGTCTAGCGAAAATTCTCCTGTGATTAGGTCAACGTCTGTGTAACCTGGTGACGAGAGAGAGACCTCCATAAAAGTATCTATGATAAAATTGAATAAGAATGGAGACAGTGGGCATCCTTGTAGGACACCACTCGGTGAGCACAACTCCCTGGATATCTCACAATGCCCTGAAGTGTTCGAGTAGAGAGCCTTCAATAAGGTGATGTACTTACTTTGCACGTCCTTCAGTGACAGACATTGCCATAAGACTTCTGGATCAAGGGAGTCGAATGCTGCCTTCAGGTTGAGAAATACGGGTATTGTCGTTCTTCTGTGAGTGTGCCTGTGTTCCAGGACCTGGCACAGTGTGAATATTTGGTCGATACACCCGCAGCCGAGTCTAAATCCTACCTGGTTTTCTCGGGCAGTAGGCAATAGTGTATTATTGTGTACTAGATGAACTCGGCTTAGATAATATGGAATTAATTTGTATCTTAGTGTTCAGCTTCTGTATTCTGATACTTTGAATAATGCTGTCCTAAATTTTCGGTTATATACTGCGTTTCACATCATTTCATACTGTTTCTAAGTTTCGGTTAAAGAACTAAGATAATTAATTGTAAGTATGATTTTCATGACAATATATTATGTTTTCTGTGGGTCTAAGAATCCTGAAACCCTGTGAAAAAATCCTGTCAATCTTGACTATATATCCAGAAAAACATGTAACCATAACTGGACACATCTCAAGAGTACATATCTACACATACTCAGAGCTTTTCTCATTCATGTTACGTTTCTTATATTCACTCACCTACCCACTTACGTATACACTTGCATTTATCACAAATTCACATCATCACCTTGAACTTATTCATTAATAATGAGAATATGAAAATCTTAAAACACTTAATCCCTATTATAAATTTGGATAACATCACACCTTTTCCGATTCTTTACGTCGTCTAATTACATTATCCAAATGAAAATCTTGTTTTTGTTTCGTTTGAATCCACTAATAATGTAATGTAATTTGTTCTGTTTATTATTGAAACATTGGGTAACTTGTACAGGCTTGATCTTTTGAAGAAGCAGTTTAAATGAGTTCACAAGACATCGACCATTTTCTTTTCCTACCTCAGTAGAATATCAGAAAATATGTTTTTTATGGTAATTTCTCTTAGTTTCACATCGAAGAGATTATAGTAAAAATCATCTAGAGTGTGGACAATAGACGAATTTGGAGCAAAAAATAGACGTTAGTTCCATAAACTTCAAGCTGTGTCTTTCACTTGGTTCATTGTACTAGTGTTAAACAGTACTTACTTCATCATTTTGACTAGCTGAAATAGCCACGGTTTAGTAGACTGGTATTCGTGCTGAGTGATGATTGAGGGTGAAAAAAAGTGAGGCTGCTGCGCGATTCGAACCAGGGACCACTAACTGAGCTACTAGCTTTTATGAATCAGCATTCATTAGTAAAATTTATTCTACTGATGAAAAGCGCATTTTTGAGTCTTGTAGCTCAATTATTAGAGCACGGAGCTGGTGACATGGTGGTCACTAGTTCTAATCCCACCACGGCCAAAATTTTCATTTCACCTTCAATCATCACCCAGTATCAGTGTTTACTTTGTCGTACATCGTTAAGTGTGGTGTATTCATCATTCTATACGAAGAAACTATTTCTAGCTTCGATGGTTATATCGGTTAAAACAAATAGATTCTTTCAGGATTTGTGATCGTAAATGACTGATATTCATGATACACAGTGTAGGTAAGAAGCACAAGAGAACGTAGTTATAAAGGATGTCGATAGCGTTCTGAGTGCCATTATAAGGAGCGTATTAAATTTTTTTAAACCGTTAAACGGCTGAAAAACGGGACACTGTCTGAATTTATTGGAGCTGTGGCTTAGTGGGTAAGGGGAATGACTGTCAACCGTTGGGCCACTGGTTCGAACTCCGCTCCACCTACTGAGGTTTAGACAGATAGGTAGTATCACCAGCCATCTCACAGTTGATGTGGCTCAGCGCCTTCTGCATGAATGTGCTCAAGATCTAAAAGAATCTGAAATTAGGAACTGTCTAGAAATAGTTCGTTATTACGGGGTCAAACTGGTCAGTGCTTTTATTTATTTATGTGACGTTTTCTTGGGAAAAGCATTTTATGCAAGCTACAGATCAGCGAGATATATGCAGTCACTTTTTAATCATGTTCACAACATTGTTTGATCTTAAGTTAATTGGAGAAATATGAGAAAACTGGGAGCACTGGACAGCTGTTTCTTCCTAGCATGGAACTCTTCAGCGGTGCGCACAAATGACAACGTCAGGGATCGAACCCAAGACCTTTAGGTTCTGCGGTCAGCACGTCACCACTGATCTACTGGTTTGGAATCCAATGATCTACATTTCCTAATTGTGTCAGTTCACGATACGGCATGACCTCCATCTAATCGCAACGCATTGGCTCAGTGGTAACATGCTGACCACGGGACCTGAATGTCTTGGATTTGATCCCTTGTGGGGCGACGTTGTGAGTGTACACTGCTGAGGAGTTCCATACTAGAACAAAATAGCTGTTTAGTGCTCCTACATTTCTATTGGTTCTGCAACTGATATCAGTTTATGATGAACATTAACCTGAAATCAACAAATAATTCCCTACAAATCTCTGAATTCAATCTCTAGTTAATCAAAGCTTGTATGAATCATTGGTTATGAGTGTAATTCCTTCTACTGATGGAAAGCGCATTCTTGTTTCGTATATCCATTGAGTAGAATTCATTCTCATCGTCATCATTTTTTTCCACTGTGCCTGTATTTTTGTTTGTATTCATAGCATATCTTATTGGATAATAATGAAGAAAATTCAGTCTAAGTACATTTCTAGGCGGTTGATTTTTTAGTACAATTGTTTTTATATGATACCGTCGTTGCTTGGACTGAATTGATCCATCTCTATTGGCATATGGGCTCCTGTGCGGATGCCTCGATATTGCCTGCGTTGTAAT